TTTTCAAAAGAAATAATTTATAGGAGGTTTTTACATTCAATTACATTGCATTTAATAGACCTTTAATAGACTGCCTATCTCGATACGAGTAATCAAAACAATTGAAACATAATGGTTTCACGAAAAAACGAATTTACAACAGAATTGGGAAACACTAAAGCATTCATTTACCTCAGGCTCAGTGAATATTGTTGAATATTGTTGAATAATAAAGGAAAATCACGCGCCAGGAAGAGAGGGGGGAGGGGTGTAAAAAAATGGCACCGAGGAATATTTCTGGTATTTTTTCCCAGAATCATATGGAGACCGCCGCGTTAAGAGTGGTCAGAGAAAAAGACAGAGCTGTTACTCATTTCACAAAGATGTCGCCTCTTAACCTTTTTTTAAATGGAGGATTTTGGAGGAGGATCACTTGGTTCTCAGGGGGGAATGGAGGGGGAGTCAGTCGCCGCCAACAGATAATGAAGAAAAATGACTGCCATTAAAGGTGGGGGGGGGGGGGGGGAATTATAAGAATATTCCAATTCCCCCTTCCCCTCCCCCTCCCCCCAGGCGAAGAATGGTGACCAGTCCCTTTAACCGTTAAACACCTATGAGTGACAAAGAGAGAATGTCTCCTTACAGTGTCAGTACAATATCAAGCAGATAAATGAGAAGAATAAAGAAGGAAATTCAATTAGGGGATTACAAGTTGATGCAATACCAAATTCTCCAAACTAACATCATAAGAATCGTGTGGCAGACAGTAAGGAGAATTACTAGGGAGATCTTGGAAGTGAAAGGGTGAAAAAAGCCTCAAGTAGGTTGTGACTTAAATTGCAACAGATTCCTCCCATTTTTTTTATTAACGATTTTATTTCGAAATTACAGAAAATTGCACAAACGGATGGGTAAAAAACCAAGCACTTTTACTTACATATTCAATCATCTTCTTAACGAGAGTGATGGGCGCTTTTGATACCGGCGTCACTTCGTGAATTAACAGCCCCCTAAATACGGTGGCTATGTCAGCCTAAGCCGGGCTCTCGGCTGCAAAAGCAAAACATTCTGGCAATGTCAGCGACTCATTGTTAGTGGGTTTTAATTTTGGAATTGAGCGAGGGATTTGTAGCCGACGTTAAGTTTGACGTTTTTGTTTTGCCGTAATGATCGTAGGTAGTTAAAAGCAGCTTTCTCCTCGTCAGTAGTTATCCCTAGTTCTGAGTACAGGCTCTTGAGGCCTTCCGATCTTGCTTCTTCTACCACTCGTAGAGCTTTCGCTTTTGCCTCAGCGTCGATAACAACGGCTTTGGCGCTCGCATTCTGAGCAATCTCTCGAGCTTCGTTGTAGATCTTGTTCTTAATCCTCTCGGTTTCCTTTCTAACAACCTTCATTGGAAAATGGAAAAGTTAGTAGTTTAGCCCCCTCTTTGTCCCGCGCTCGTGATAAGACGAAAAGGCATCTTTCTCTATTTCTTTACCGAGTTCAAAAAGAACCTCAGACCATCTTTCTTATTCTGTTTAGCATAAGTATTGTTTGGCTTAGGAATGGTATTGCTCCCAAGAGTGACAAAAGATTAATTTGCTTGTATCATAACGATTCTGTTTAGCAGGAAAATGATAAGAAGAAAGAGGAACATCAGTTTAGGAGCACTGATCAATTAATCTCCAAATTCTCAGAGCTAAAATCATGAGTAATGTGTGGTAGACGGTGGAGGTAATTCAAATTAAGATCTTAAGGGGTGAGAAGGTAAATCATTACCTTCTCCGCCAACGCAACGTCAGCAACAATGTAACTTTTACAACAACGAGAAAGTTTGCAAGGTTTACCTTTTCCCGCAATTCAAATTGGGCACGTTCTTCTTCAGCTGCCTCTGTGACTTGACGGAGATACCGACTTTTCACATCTTCATGCACATCGACCGCCAATAGCTGGAAGTATCTGACTTCCACGAACATTCCTCTTTCGTCATCCTTACACAAGGAATTTTTAATACAGTAGCCACAAGCGGGCATCTCCTCTTCGTCGGTAGGACAGGTTTCCCTGCAGCAGCCATCTACACGCTTGGCAAGAGCTTTGAACAGTTCCTTTTCGATATTTTCTCGGTTCCTGATTAGTTACGAATCAGAAGAAATGAGAAAGTAACTAAATGATCTCTTTTTTGCGCGACAAGGAGGAAGATTACAGGAGCCCCGGATCTTTGTAGCTATGCCTACTGAGTATTTGTCGTGGAAAAAGCGGGTGCATGGATCCGTAACTATTAGTGCTAAGGCTAAGTTTGGCTGATGTGGGAAAAGAACATACCTAAACATATTGCAAGAAGAGTATATGGCAAATTTCGCAAAACTAAGCTTGACTTCTAATGGGGACACCGCACGATTGAGTAGGATTTCTAAGTAATCTAGTACCCAGTTCCTTCCGTGTAACTGCTTGGCCGTAGAAATTCTGGGTACAAAACTAATTCTAAGTAGTGCATCAAGCCTCAATTTAGAGGCATGTCAAGTTTTTTTTATATTTTTATGATTCAGCACTCGACGGCGAAGGGGTCACATGCACTCTTGACCCCCTCCACATATTGGTTGTTAGCCACGATTCCCCATAGGCAAATATTTACAAACCTTATGTAGTCGTCGATCGGTAAATCTGCAGCGCGCCCTTTTATGGCGTCAATAGCCGTTCCCCTGACCACAGGCTTGTAGTCGACATTGTAGGCTTCGTGTAAATCTGGCAGAAAATCCTTTCTAAGAAAATATTGAAAATTGCAACTGATTTTGATTTCGATTTTGTCCCCAGTCCACACAGAAATCTCGTTAAGCTCGACAAAATGAGCATCAGCTGGGAAAACCTTGAAGGTGTAGTCAGGTCCCACAAAGTACCGACCAGAAGTGTAGACCTCGCTGATGTCTACAAAACCAGTGGACTTTCGTCTCTTGAAGCCGAGCTGTGTGAAAAAAAAGATGGAAAAGAAAGCAATCCATTTCAAAATGTTGAACATGTTCTTTAAGGTAATTCCTCGGTACAGCACTGCGCTTCCTGCACTGTGCATCCTGTACTGCGCTTCCTGTACTGCGCATCCTGTACTGCGCATCCTGTACTGCGCATCCTGTACTGCGCATCCTGTACTGCGCATCCTTTACTGCGCAGAAATCGCGTGATCAGGCGAATTAGCGCGCGCATTCCGAGAAGATGGTATTGTTTTTCAATCTATAGACGAGGTAAACAGGTACGAAGTTCTTTTGCTCTTGAACAAGCGCGGTGACCTATATTTTTGTTGCACAATTTTGGTGTACAAATTATCTGCTTAACTTTGGAGAAATTACAAAAAAAAGATTTATCTGAGGAAAAGAGAAAGATATTGCTGAAAGCGTACACGAAGCCAGTTGCTCAAGGATGCAAATTATGACCTTAAAAGTAACGACTCAAGGAGAGTTCAGAGTCGATATCAGTATGGATCAGTTTCAGTATCTAAGCAGCTGCGCACTTATCCCTCCCCTTATCCAACAATGGTCAACGGTTAATGTTGGGTTAAGGGAGGGGTAGCTGCGCAGTTGCGCAGATACTGACATTGATTTAAAAATATCACATAGGGAAAGTTGCTAACGAGAATTAACCCATTAACGCCTAAGATCCTATCACCAATTCAAACAAAAACAGAAAAACTGCCAGGAAACGCGACCGAACAGGTGATTGGTGAACTTTTTTGCGCCTTAAAGATGTGAAGATATCATTGCATATTTATTTGCTTTGATCGTACGCGGTTGTTTTGACCGAACGCGCGATTTGAATAAATTATTTTTGCACTGGATGCGCGTGCTTTGCTTATGCTTAATTATGATAAGCCATTTTTTTGTTTCCTGCCCAACCCTTTAATTCATGTTCGCCAAATGATATGATACTAATAAGGAATAAAAAGAAACTTGGTGTTTCCCTTGGATGGATAAACTGAAATAGCAGAGAAACAGAGTTTCTTTAAAGAGTCGAACTTTAAATATATACTTAAGACATCCTCATCACTCTACATCAGTCTCCTACGGATGGCCAAACCACAAGTGTACCAGATCACGTTCCATCTCAAGAATACTTGAAAACTCAGGTGCTGTGACAAGCTGACGATGGAAAGCATTTGTCCAACTACTTGGACGATCAATAAAGCTACTTGACCTTAAGAGCAAGAGGCGGAGCCCGGAATTTCACATAGGAGGTGAAACGCGGTCCAAACGTTCCTTGCTGCACGAGAACACGCACGATGTGCTTTATGAAATGTTACGAATAAACATGTATTCTTCCAAATTAAATCTTCTCCCAATGTTCTAACATTAATGACTTTAACTGTTTGCTTTATGATTTTCATCATCCTCAATTTAATCAAATTTTTTTTCACTTTTGCTTGTATATAACATTACATTAAGATTAGTGCAACACAGGGAAAAGCTCAATTGAGGTATCGTATCATCAGGAGTTACACTGACAATTTGACTCTGAAAAGATGTTTCCTTCCTCGCAGATAAACTGACTTTTACTCAGCACCAAACTTACCCCCTCCCCCCCCCCGCCTCCAATATATTTCATACCGCGTCGCATAATGCGGAAACAAGAGTCAATCCTTTGCATGTACGATCACGCAGTAAAATTAACAATTGGTTCTAGCTTCTTGAGTGCTCTCCAAACTTCCCAAGTGCTTCATATCTCGATGAACGCACAGCTGACGTATGAACTAATTGTTTTATAACATTTTCAACCCGATGGGAAATTTTTTTCTCGAGGGATTTATTTGCTGACGTCATGAGCGTGCACAATAGGAATATGAAGCACGCTCGTGCAATTGAATTTGATTAGACAAATTTACTAGCTATGTTATAATAAACACTTATGAGATTCATATCTAATCTGTCAAAAGAAGACTTCGTTTCTTCATCGTAACTTTATATTTTGTGTTTGTCCCGTAATGTAATCAAAGAGGTTTGGTGTTTCGGTTTGGCTGTTTCGATAGGTTTTCTCGTTTCGGTCGTTTCGTCTCGATGATTTTGTGTTAATGTTACGGGTTTCAATCCATTTCTTGCATTATTTGAACGTTGTACTTTGAACTTAGAGGTGAGGCGATCGGGAAGGACTGTAGGATTCTGGCAAACTCTCGCTCGGTAAAAGTCTTAAAATTCAATTTGCATTTCAAGTAAGTTGTCCAGATTGAAGTCATCCTAGAGGTTCTTCTGATTTTAAATCGTTCTTAGCGTAGGCAGCAAAATATAGATTCCATTTTCACCTCTATTTCATCTGTTTCCTTCAGAAACTGAAGTTATTCCGTATATTTATTGCATGCCTTCTTTCCAGTAACGGATATCACAATGCCCTCTTATCGTAATGAAGCCCAGGCAGAACTTGAGTCATCGTGGCATGTTGGATATTTAGATGGTTGTCTAACGTTTCTGTTATATTTATAAGCAACGAGAAAACAAAAAGAATCATCGTGATTCAACGAAAAAGATTCAGTGGCTTCGTGCATACGAACAATCTACCGCTTAACTAAGATTTGCAAAGTAGCTGATACTACTGAATTTGAAATTATCTCATGAACGTAACTCGACAAGTAAATGAAAAAAGTATAATTTTGGGATGATTTTAGTTCTGTGGTCTGTGTAATGCGAGAAAAAGGCTTCGAAATAGAAAAACTTTCAGAGAACACAAAAGCTAAACAGAATCAAGACGAAAATTTTCGTCAGGACAAAACGAAAATTTCCTGCTTCCAGCGAAGTCAGGCTGTGTTATCGAAAATGTTTTCGTGTAAAGAATACCTCTGAGTTTAATTTACTTACCTCGTAATATTCCACACTAGAGAAGCTGGTCGGGATTAGAATAACTATGAGTAAAGCTACGATGCCTACGACAGCTGCTATGATCGTTGGGGTAGCGCTCGCCATCTTGTAAAACCTGTGTAAGACAACAAACCAAGTTCAATTAAGCGGGCAGAAACATTCCTGTTTGGAAAACCACTGAAGAAGTACGTCATTTGTTGTGAAGCTTAATGTAACTACGGAGTTTATACAAAAACCTTAAACACCTGCTCTTTGTGGTTCTGTTAAGATGTCTTTCAATCTCGGGGTCTGTTGACAGTAGCTCACTAGGGATTTACGATCAAGCTTTACTCGATGATACTTTCAGATTGTTCTGTATTTTTTGCCATTGTTAATCTTATCACACCTCATTTGCATTAAATCTCGAACCTAGGATGTTAATCATGAACAAAGAGTTTTTCCTTTTGTTGTTTGCATATTAATTAGGTTTAAATATAGGAAACTTATCGAGTTCCATCACGTCCTCGACCGAGTCGAACAGGGATGTAAAAGATTATGGATTGCGAGATGAGCAAATCGAAGACAGTTATCGGAATAGTGGTCGTTGCTGCAATCATCTTTGTTGGCGCTATGGTAGGGACTTCGTTACGAAAACTAAGCACAGAAGAAGGTATGTAAATGTTGAAGAACTTGCTACCCAATCTGCAGAATTTTTAAGAATTTAGAAATTGCTGATCAAAGTAAAAGAGTTGGATGATTGTTGTAAACTCGTCTTAATTGTGAAAGATTCGAGATTTGCGTAAACGAAGCGGATGAGTTTAAGCCAGCGGAATGAAAACTATCAAACAGGAAAGGAACAGATTCGTTGACACTACTCTGGTGTGGACCAAGCGGAACAACTTTAAAGGCAAAATTCTATTCCAGTTAAGCCTCTTTTGATCTCTTTTCGCTATTAGGAAGGAGCTCGCGAAAACCCACGTGTCATTCAAAGAATTTTTCTTCGTCACTTTACCATATGTAAACAAAACACTGTTTACCAAAAGAAGTGAAAATAGTTCTCTTGATTAGAGAAGTGTTCTCGTCCAACTTCAAAAAGCTAGGTCAATAGAAGCGTCAGGTTAGGTTCAATGTATTTTGGATAAAGTTCTGAAAACTAGCTCGTCCCGTTTACAAGCGGTCAAAGGGGGTTTGCCTTTCTGTGTTAATGGGACCAAATTGTCCAGATCGTTTCGGTCACGTCCGCTTTACCAAGTTCAAATTTGTGAATAAAAGATGTATAGATGTATGTTGTATGCAAACTGTGTTCTGATTCGCTACCTGAGCGGGTAAGATGGGTCCATCTTGCCCGTTTGAGACTATTTCGATTTCGATTTCGATTCTATTCGATTTCGCGCAAGAAAAAACATTGCAGTGCGTGGAGCGGACTAAAAAAATTCGAAATTTTTGGACAGTGTGGGCGATAGAGTCGCAAAAAGCGGCAGAAAACAGTCAAAACAAAATAAACATAAACTACTCTCGTGGGTTTATTATGCTACAAATGCTACAAACACAGTTGGCATTCAGGTTCCCAGCTCTTGAAATAAACAAATCATTCTTCATAGATAGAAATAAGAGAGATGGTAAGTCTTGAGCTCGGTAAAGAAATAAAGAAAGATATTTTTCACCTTGTCACGAGCGTGAAAAAATTCTGAGTCCCCATGAGGAATCGAACCTCAGACCTTCGGCTCTTTCCGCGCTTCGATGCTCTACCACTAAGACACAGAGACTCCATGTTGAGCGAAGTCTATCAGAAAGTTCATATGACATCGTCCTGCGAGAAAGATTTTTTTCGTCTTGTCACGAGCGTGGGAAAAAGAAAAAAATTCTGAGTTCCCATGGCGTATCGAACCTCATGAGGGATCGAACTAAAGGTCTGAGTTTCGATTCCCTAATGGGGACTCAGAATTTTTTTCTTTGTCCCACGTTCGTGACAAGACGAAAAACATATTTCTGTGAATCATTCTTATTTTTAATATAACGAAATTTTTATGCTATATGATAAATCCTTCATTGACCAAGCTTGTTCGGATGTAAGCCTTGTTCTTCTTTTTGCGTTTTTATAAACCTCGAATTTGTCTCGGTCCATAAAAACGCCAAAAAAAGACCTCTATCAATATTCAGCCATCTTGACCTCACGCTCGGTAAATAACGCATATATCACATTCTTTCATCTGTGACAGTTGGTGTGGCGTACAATATCCATGAGAAAAAGCTGTCAACTGAGGTGAAGAGGGAGGGGCTTCACTCTGGTTCCCCTGGTTACCGCTTTATCATCTTTCCCAGTGTGTTTCAGAGCATAAGTTTCGATGACCTGGAGTGTCTAAACAAAGATGGCATCGAGATAGAGTTGAATGTACAGTTTCAGTATCGGGCAAGACCCAAGGAACTTCGAGATCTCATTTTGCAGTTTAAAGACAAAGACAGCTACTTGAAATTACTAAAGTAAGTGTAACAAATGGATAGATCTGTTCATAGAAGTCATGAAAACCAAGTGATTTTAAGCGTTGATTAACAGGCTCTAAAGGAATCAATGAGCTTTGTTGGAAACATTGAGTTCGAGGGGAGACAAAACTTACTGTTTCCAAAGGGGTCAGTGATTTAGCGTTTTGTCATACCTCCCAACTGAAAATTATTGGACTGGCACACAAATTTGTCGTAGTTTCAAGGAGCATGACAACATTACTTGCGAGTCGAAAGTTTAAGTTGTTGTTTGGGAATTTTGACCCATGGCACGTATTACGTCCATGGCACGTAGCACGTCCATGGCACAGGGCACGTGTCACGTCTTTCTGCAATCTCAAAACGTACTTGAGTTGGGAGGGATGACAACCAAATTTTGAGATGGAGATCCTAAAATATATACAGGTCTCATCACAAAGTGCGACAAATGATGCTACTTGTTTAATTTTAAACATGCAATTTTGAAAATTGCAGGAAAACGTTTTAGTAACCGATTAAACCGTTTGCTTATTTATTTCTATCCTCAGGAGCATTGCTGAGTCTGCCATCCATGATTCTTGTAGTGCTTTCAATACCACACAGCTACAATCTGAAAGAGCTTCATTTCAAGATCTCGTCCGTAAAACTATCGGTCGAAGATTTGACAATGTAGGAGCTGATGTCGAAGACCTACAGGTAACTAGCAGCATGGGAATAAGCATGAGAGAGCTGGAGTCCGATGAATTAAAAAACAAGGTTTCGAACCTCGTTCCCAGAGGATTTCAGCCCCTCCACCTTTCTCCACGTCGAGAGGGAATGTGAAAGGAGATGAAAGAAGAAATATCTCAACCCTAATCTCGTACTCAGACCTTTCACGGCCAAGCAGTTGTAAATTACATTTAAATTAAACGGTAGGATCTGGGTACGAGATTATCTCAACCTCTCCTCTCTCATCCTTCCTTCCTCTTCACGAAGTCTCAGTCACTTACATGCTAAAAGTCTGTCAGGCTCTAAGGCCACCTGATAACCTGTCAAAAAACGAGGTGGGAGGGGTCTGAGGTCATCCTTCTCCGAAAAAATTTTGAAAATTATCCTTCATATGTACCTCTTACTAAAACAAAACAAAATGTCGTCTCGATTTAAGCCCCCCCCCCCCCCCACCCCCACCCATCCCAGCTCCGCCGTCCCTGCAAGGAATGGTTATTTAATAAAAGAGGTGTTTCTGTATATGGTGATCTTTCGTTTATACTCAAGGCCTTAATGTCTGATTCAACGGTGGAACTGTATGGAGAAATCAGATGCTGATCATCTGTAAGGGGCTAAAGAAAACACTTCTGAGAGTTAAAGGGTGGAAAAGTTTGTTTCCCTCTTGAATTAGTTTTTGACATGATGATTATTTTTCTTTCCTTTAGGTTGAAAACATCATGCGCCCTGAATCCTACGAAAAAGTCATCCGAACTAAAGAAGCCGCCAAAGAAAACATCAAGATAGCAGAGAATGAACGTCCACGACTTGTTGTGGAAGCGAAATCTGAGAAAGAAGAAGCTGTCAAGCAAGCTGAGATCACCATCCAGCGGGCGGAGTCTGAGGCCAGGGTGCTCTTGTCCAAGGCGGACGCAGAAGCCAGCAGTATCAGAGCAGCATACGCTGCAGAAACGGCAGCATTCCAGAAACTCAAGAACGACACCCTTAGTAACAGTGTAGCAGGACTTCTGTCGTATCTTGGGGTGCGACTTATCGCTGAGAACAATAACACTGTTAATGTGGCGCTGGATGCTCCAGCTAAAACCAAGTATACATACACCTAACCCTTTAGTACCCAACGCCTAAGCTGTAATTCACCCTTGAAGCTGCTGCAGATTTTCCTTTGAGGGTTCTAGGTGACATTAAGATAATCCACTTGGCAAGCTATACGTGAAGCTGCTACAGATTTTCATTCGAGGGCTCTACGTGCCATCAAGATATTCCTCTTGGCAAGTTATGTGTGATCAGTTCTCGAGTCATAGGTTTATGACAAAAAATTAACGGGATTCGTTGAAATAAAGTCGTAATATTCTGCTTAACTCAAATTTACCTGAGCTGGGCTTTGCTTGTAATGAACTTATAAACTTGGCTTAGCTCTATTCGGTCACAGTAAATTCCAAAAGAGCTTAGGCTAAAACAAATGTACAAACAAACAAACAAATGTACATGGAAAGACACACTGGAGTTCTTTTTATCAGTAGAGTAGTTCTCAATTGAGTATCGAAAAACCAAAACAATCCCAACGACCAATCAGAATTAAGGTTTACATTCTCATTAGCCGATGAGAATTCAAAGTGAAAACAAGCTAACTGCTTGAAGCGCGGGAAAACGTGAAAGACCGAATCGAGATTGTTTTAACTTTTGAATCTGATTGGTTGACAGGATGGCGCGAATTTTCTGGGCCAATTACAGAGCAAGTTGAGTAAATCCAAAGCATAACCGGAATACTTTCGACACTCAAACCAAGAGAGCAATGCATATCTTAATTTCAAATTAAGAGGACAGACAACTCCTCGATGAAATGTTTTTGTAACGGCAATTGAAAGCGTAGTAAAACCAAAGTAATTAATTGTTTGAGGTAAATACAATCGCTTAGGCTGGTTCCAAAATAAATAATAAAAACAATTTGCATCTTGGATTTCTGATATCAAAAGTGGAAAGGAGTTTGAGCAAACTACGTTAGGGCCAGACCACCACCCCTCCTCCATTCTCCATTTGCAACACCACCGCTAAGCGATTTTACTCTTCTAAGATATAACTGCTTTGATTTTACACTGTAGATAGAGAAACTAGAGACTGCCTTCAATCTACATGATCAAAAACTGTCTACTGTGTCCATATTAAACACTCAAAACACCTTCAATTGTAGTAAACATGAGTTTAATCGTTCGATTGATGTTTACTGCTCTACAGCACAATAACTTAATCCCCTGAGGTATTTTAGTTACGAAAGCTCAATGGTTGCTTACAGGTAAAGCTTCACCCAAAGTCTTGCTTAATTTCTCCATAAATAATTCAGGTCCCAAAATTTCACGACTTTTTATTGACAAAATGCCGTTTTTAATAATTGCATATTCTTTGCACATGCAAGGACACCTAGAAATTACTCATATCGTTCTAAAATGCGCGCACGTCCGCCTAAAAGGCGCGTAAGTAATCCAAAAACCCAACCACACTCAATTATTAATTTATCCGAGAAACGATTAATCTCGTTAGCCTTTTCTCCCCACTAAGTCGGTTATCTTTTGATCAAGGTATAGTTTCTTTTGAGAAAATACCTTCTACATGTAGGTTTGTTTCGTATGATAAAAGCAATTTAAGAGCTAAGCCAAAGCCAAGTATGATATAAGATACTAATGCATCTGTTGACTGGTTTAGTTGAGATTTCCCCTTTGTTCTTGATCCAACTCTATGGCTTCAAAAAGCGACTTGAAGTTACCGGCTCCAAAGCCCTGCACAACAAGAAGAGAAAAAAAGAAGAAAAAAAAGAGATTCAGTCTGTTGCATATTCATCTGAAAAATTAAATTTATCATTTTGATATACCAACGACAGTTTGCAACTTTAATATTGCCCACTTTCAAGCCATTCTATGTTTATAAGAGGGAAAGACGATTCAAAACCAGAAGAAAGTTTTCAGACAACGAGCAGCTCTTCATAGAACGAGGAGCTCTTCACAGAACGAGCAGCTCTTCATAGGGCAGTTTTCCATCGATAGTCCAACGTGATCCTGGATTGCATTGCGTTTGTTATGCTTCGCTCTGTGATTGGTTTTTAGAAATCGCATGTCACCCTCTCAACCAATCGGAAGCAACGCAGACACCAATCACGACTTGGTCACCCGCGCTTTCTTCACACCTTCACTTGTCCTTGCCCCAGAATTAACGACAATCAGTTGAAGTTGCTTTAGTTTAATTGCCAGCTGTCCCCTCGCACCAATCGAAAGACGATCCATCCTTAACAATAAAACAGTACACTCCTCATCAGGGACTCCACCACCACATCCCACCCCCCCCCCCCCTCTCTCTCTCTCTCACCTGGTGATTGCGCCTCTGTATGACTTCTAAGAAGAGCGTTGGTCTGTCTTGCATTGGTTTTGTGAAAATCTGCAGCAGGTAACCTTTGTCATCAAAATCGACCAAAATCTTCAGATCTTGAAGCTAGAACACGAAAAAAAATCATATCTAATCAGAGCTTACTAAAATTTGTGCAGCTGACCGGGGAAACTTGACGCGTATAGTGCTCCATACAATTCTTATGATATGAGTTGGAGAATTTGGTATTGAATCAACAAATAATCCTTTAATTGAAACTTTTTTCCTTCTCATTACTTGTCTGCTTGATACTGCACTAAAATTGTAAGGAAAAATTATGTGTTGGTCACTCATGGGAGTTAAAGGTTTGATACAGCCAGAGTTTGAAAGCCTTGGTACATGTAGCTGATCCCCACTAAAATTCCCCTCAACTGTCCAAGGGTCCAAGTTAAAATATCTTACCACATCCAGGTCTTCCTCCACCTTAATGGGTGCATCCTTAAGACGTGCACGAAGATTTTCATAATATGTATCAGGAATAACGAGAAAATCCATGCCTCTCTCCTTTAGATTCTTTATCTGAAAAAAAAGCGCAACTTCACGTCACAAAACGTACAATCTAGTACAGTTAATGATTCAGGTTGTCACTTACAGTAGAGATGATATCAGATGTGTTGAGTGCAATGTGTTGAACTCCTGCTGTTCCGTAGAAGTCGACATACTCCTGAAGCAAGATGAGTATCACAAATAAAGACCAAATGACAACATGAATTTTGTGCATTGACTAGGTTTAGTCACCATGCTCATAATGCTATGCAAAGTTGAATTATGCAACAACAACGCAGTTTGTAAAGGTAACATCATGATTTCGAGTGCAATTTGGTGTAAATAAGCACAACTAAATTTTCAAAAGACAATTGAAATTGCATTACACAGAATGATGATGAACAAATTTTTTTTGACGCACACACCATTTGTAATTTGCACTTGTGTTACATGAAAAATGTACGCACTTTCAGCCTATCAGATTAGCATAGTTTTTTTTCATGTATATTGTCATATCAGTTGCATGAGCATGCTTAGCACTGCTTGCAAAAGAGGTTCTGGGAAATACCAGGAAATTAGTCTACTCCATTCACACTTAGTTTTTCCAGCAAAGCACAGAGAAACAGTGGACTGTCCCAGCTTTGCTCAGTCTTTTGGTTAACCATTATTCCCATATCTTACCAGTAATTCATAATGGTAATAGGACCAAGTGGAGTCCAATTCGGTCTGTGATCATAGGAGTGATTAACAAAATCGGACGACTGAGAAGCAGGAGTCTGATTTGTTAATCATAAATATGATTACTGACAGAATTGGACAACATGAAGTTCTGTTACCAATTAATCAAAACTATGACAAAATTTGAGAGGAAAACTAGACATTGGTTATTAAACAGAGTATGAATGGAAGTGAAGTGAAATAGAATATCACTGATGTGGTTGGCATTGCCTACATTTCCCTGTAAAGTTCAATTCCTTTGCTGGATCCCCTGGTCATGAAATAATTATTTCATTTATCATGCTTGTGCTGTCAAAGTGGCTGGATATTTTCTTGTGCTTTTATGGAAGCTGACCAAGTCTCATTGCACAAAAAACAAATGCAAAAATAAAAAATAAAAATAAAAAATAATAATAACTTGGCAAATATCTAGTTCTATTTTTTCTCAGTGCATGAGCAGGTGGTATTCTACAAATCCAGCAATCTGATTGGTTCCAAGAGCGGGCAGTATTCTCCCCATCCAGCCCACTCACAGCGGGTCAGGTTCTTTTCGCAACCATTTGTTAGGTTTTAGAAAAGAATAAAAATGTTGTTCACCAGCCAAGGTCGGTCTGTATTGGGAAAAACTGTGCCCGGTGTCTTGTGTTCTGCTGAGGCCTACAGCCTTGGGGACAGTTTTTCCCAATACAGACCTCCCGTCTGGTGAATAACATATATATCATGACCTAATGTGTGGTCCATAATCATGTACATACCTGTATCTGGCTCTTTCTTTTTCCTGGGGCTGGTTCATTGATAGGCAACTTAATTGTCTCTTCCCAGTTTGTGACCACAATTGATCGAAGTGCACTGTACTCTGTATTAATCTAAACAACAAAAGATTGGTGAAGGGTCTACACAATGAAGTGAATATATACCCATCAGCATTGCTGGAATTATGTGTTCGTCGACCAACATAGTGGACAGTTTCGAACTAAAAATAATCCCAAGATTTTTCTTGGTTTAGCAGATTAACCTTTTCATTCCCAAGATATGAAAGTTAATTCTTCTAACTCGTGACACACAAACCTTTGTTGCCTATTCTTGGAGTTCTATCGAAAGACCAGTTTCTAGTTGATGATTTTCTCACTTCTCCCTACATCTCTATTTGACATTTAAATAAAACTGTTACAAGAATTTATTTCTTAGTCACTCAGGAATCCAAAGGTCTGATATTCAATTCCTCATGGGGTCTCAGAATTTTTTCCTTTTGTCCCATGCTCGTGACAAGACAAAAAAACATCTTTCTCTGTTTCCATACTGAACTCAAAACTTACCATCTCTTTTAATCTAATTACAAACATAATGCTATCAACATTGCTGATCCTAGCAGTATTAGGATGCATGTCATGTGAACTTCGTAATAGACCTCGCTCACCGTAGAGTCTCTGAGGCTCAGTGGTAGAGCATCGGAAATCCAAAGGTCTGAGGTTTGATTCCTCATGGAGACTCAGAATTTTTCCTTTGTCCCACGCTCGTGACATGACAAAAAACATCTTTCTCAACACCTTTGCTGTAAATCTGAACAGAAAAAAGGAAAGTGGAGTCTGTTTGTAACAAGTAACATACCTGTTTATCATCAACAGACCAAAACCTGTGAAACTGTAAATTCTTCTCATACCTTCAGAGACCAACAGAGTATAAATTTTACAGAGAAAAACAACAATTTAAGGACTTAATATATATGTTTATTAACCCTTTAACTCCCACAAGTGACCAAGGCAGAATTTCTCCATTCATAGTATTAAGGATAAAGACGAACATTAATTAGGGGATTATTAGTTGATCCAATACCAAATTCTCCAAACTCATATCATATGGTATGGCAGACAGTATGGAGAATTTCATAAAAGATCCTAGGAGTGAAGGTGTTAATCAGTAATTTAATCTGTGAAGGAGAAGGGAAGGATTGAGGATGAGGCAGCACAACAGGGTTCTAACACAGACTTATGTGTCTTAAAAATGTTTGCCTACATTTGATCAGTCCAACCTATCCCATCCATTACCACCATCCATGGTTTGATTTGTTTATTCTCATTTCTCTGTTGCTTGTTGAACTTATAAAAGTGCTTTCAACTGTGTGTCATATTACCTAAACCAAAGTACAGTCGAACCTGTATTAGGTGGCACTGTATTTAGCAGTCACCCTGTATTAAATGGTCAGTTGTCAGTCTCGAATTTCGTGCAGTTAAATGCAATCTAACAGAGTTAACAACAAAGAGCATCAGAGTTTTCTAATGGTTAGCAGTTTTTCACATATGCGCATGCACCGGAATTCCATGCAATCTTTGTTGGAGGCGTTCTTGCATGTACTTTGAGCATGTACTTGTAGTGTTGTGAGGAGTGGGAGCTCTTCATCCAGGCAGTTTCCCCCACCCCTTCCCTCCCTCTTTCCACTGTTTATTCAGTGTGACAGGTGCCTGTTCCCATTTCCTGCGTGAGGCGTCATGGCCTGGTTGCCAGGATTTTCCAGCCATGGGAGAAGTCTCCATATAGGGGCTGGCTGCCAATAGTGGAAGCTCCTGGATGTTTCAGGCACCCAACCTTCAATTAGTGATGCAGTTGTTAATTTCCCCATTAACCCTTTAGCTCCCAAGAACTCATTAGTAATTCTCCCCCCTGTTTGCCATACAGTTCTTGTGATGTTAATTTGGAGAATTTGATATTGGATCAACTTGCAATTCCCTAATTCATATTTTTCTTTATTCTCATCACTTGTCTGCTTGATATTGTATTGATATTGTGAGGAGAAATTCTCTCTTGGTCACTCGTGGAAGTTAAAGGATAAATCACTGTAATCTTCATCTTTATTAGACTGGACTTACCATTCAGCAGTGGACACCATACCATCCTCTGGCTGGTTACCAACAACATGATCAATAAAACAAAGAAGGCCTGGTGGTCTAAGAAATATGAGAAGAACAGTTACACTTTCAATCAAAACTATAACAAAGTTTATCTAAAGTATGTGAACGGTTATCACCAGCTTGATTTGAGTACTAATAACCCTTTGACTCCCAGATCAAATTTGTAATTCTCCTTTCTGTCAACCATACATTTCATATCACGTTAGTTCAGAGAATTTAGTACTGAATCAACTAATTATCCCCAAATTGATATTTTTCTTAATTCTCATCACTTATCTGGTTGATATTGTATTGATATTGTAGGGAGAAATTCTGTCTTGGTCACTCATGGTAGTTAAAGGGATAAGACAGTGTATGTGTCATGCTTTTAATTGGACAGTGTAATATAAGACAATTGACATCATGCCTGTGTAAATGGACAGTACCCATCATGTGCATGCTCCGTTGTCATGCATTTTGGCACATTAACTGCTGATTTTTATGAAGACGTACAACCAATGTCTAGCTTCTTTCTCACATTTTGTTCTAGATTTGATTAACTGGTAACTGCACTTTTTTCAAATATGTCCATAATCATACTTGAGATTGACAAATTGGACTCCTGCTTCACTGTCATCAGATTTTGTGAAGTACTCATATGATTACACATCGAATTGGATACCACTCAGTCCTACTACCATTATTAACATTTAGAGTGCATATTTAATCAAAACATAAGCAATGAATTGCCTTGGTTTTAAAAATGATCTGTTATTCCAGGAGATATTGAGAATTTAGTTTCCACATTAGGATTTTTGGCTTGACTTATCTACCCCTATGAAAGAAGGTGTTTGTGCAAAAATAAAAGTCCTGGGCCAGGTTATTCAAAGCTAGGTTAAGATAACCCAGGGTTAGTCTGAAATCTGACCTCAGATCTGAAAGCTTTGAAAGATTATTCTGTTTAATTATTTTTGTCAACAGTTTGATGCCTTAACACTCTAAAAGGAATACTTGAGAAATTATCTGAAAAAGGCTTTTGAAGAAAGGAATAAAGAAACTCCAGTCAAAATGTAAATTTTTAATCCTTTAACTCCCAGATCAAATTTGTAATTCTTTTTACTGTCAACCATACAGCTCTTATAATGTCAGTTCAGAGAATTAAGTACTGGATCAACTAATAATCCCCAAATTGAAATTTTTCTTTATTCTCATCACTTATGTGGTTGATATTGAATTGACATTGTAAGGAGAAATTCTGTCTTGGTCACTCATGGGAGTTGAAGGGTTAACCCTGGGTTAGTGCAAATTGCTCTTTGGACAACTAGGCTCTAGACTAGGGTTGGGGGGAGGGGTGGGTAATCAAGATGATGCTTCTAGGAGATGTATAAGATATAAGAGGACTAAAAATACTGTATGAAACAAGGAGCAGAGTGAACATAGAATACTGCTAATGATGTCGTTTGATATACTTAACATATCTTCTCTCATTTTTGTGTTGTTGTGCAATTTGATGAACTTGTTAAAATTAGAAAAACCCTTTCTCTGAAATTATAAAGAATCAATCTCAAACTTGCTTAAAAAGAAAGACATCCCACTGACTTCAGCTTAAAGAACAGTGTACATGTTAAAGAAACTGATAGTCATCAATACAAGAATTGCAATCCTTAATTTACATGTAAGACATGTGCGAATAGCTTTAAAAAAAAACTTGCTTCTAATGGTGCAGAACAATTAAGGTATACTTACAGTTTGGGTAGAAGGCAATCTTTGGTGATTGGAGGCTTGTACCCGGGTAGAAAGAGACCACTGAATCCCTTTCTTTCAACAAATGTGTGTGTTGTGTCACCATACTACAATCAAACAGATATCACAGAGATCAAATTTAAAGAAGTAACTTTCATCTTGACATTACAAAATTTCTCCTCACAATACCAATACAGTATCAAGCAGGCAAGTGACGAGATTAAAGAAAAATATTAGTTAGGAGATTATTGGTTGATCCAATACCAAATTCTCTGAATAAAATCTAAAGAATTGTATAGCAGACAGTAAGGAGAATTACTAATGAGATCTTGAGAGTTAACCATATCATACCCAACAAGTGTGAGTTGAACAATAATTGCTATCCATTCTTAAATAACAGCTCAAGAAATATCTCAAGATCTGCTACAAACATGAAAAAAATTTCTTACAATTGTTTGTGACCATATTCATGGTCCATGAAATAGGAACTCTAATATGAGTCCTGTAAACCAATCAAGACTCTGGAGAAACAAAATGCCATAGCTATATTTAATAGTTATAGATAATTACTCACTGTCTGCACAGTTGCAAAAGTCACAGTGCCATCTTCATCTGTTTCATCCCATGGCTCATGAACAGACACTGCACCACGCTTAATGGCAGCCTGTATAAGCCAAACAAAAGAGTAATTATAACAGTAACTTAAATATAATTAAACCTGTATTAAGCAGTCACCCATAGGGAATAGTGGGTGAACACTCATTACAGGTTGACCATTAACCTTTTAACCCCTAAGAGTGACCAGACTCTAATTTCTCCTTACAATATCATCCCTGAATCAAACACTAAAGTCATGAGAATAAAGGAAATGATCATTGAATGATGACACTCTTGATTGCTAAACAAATTCTCCTTATCGATAACATGAGAAAAGTAAAGATAACAGTATGTACAAGATGCATTCTGATATTAGGATGTAACCGATTTGACACAGGTTCCACAGAATAAGAACAAATGAAATGAAACACCATTTTGTCCTAACAATCTTAAGAAGAAAGACAACTGCAACGAGTTGTCGACATTTGAACTCAGAGTGCTAATGTTGATTGAACCCTCCCATCTGATTGTTAATTCTCCCCTCTAGCTGCTACATATTTCCTTTTAAATTAGTTATGAGAATTTGGTGTTTGATCAAGATAACAACTTCTACCTGACAAGTTTTAGTATTCTCAACACCTTTTTGTTGGATAATGTTTGGATATCATGGGGAGAAACTACATGTTAATCACCCCTGGCAGCTAAAGGGTTAATCCAGGGTGACCACGGAATACCATGCCACTTAGTACAGGTTTAACTATATGTGATTTGTTCATTGTGAGAATGGGACAAGAAAAAATGTGCCTCCCCATGAACTGATTTGCACTTCAGGCCTTCACATTTTGCAGTCGTATCAGTGCCTCTTCTGCTAATCTATAGAGATTTTGTGATGAGCTTGGCTACATGCTACCTTGCTACATTCTGCAGGTCACCTTGTAAAGAGCAATACAGTCCTCCACTTCAAAAGCAACATCCTTCACTCCATCACCATGTACAATCAGGTGTTTTCCCATCACTAACACAAAAAAATTATGGGTAAATCATGTACAACGATGAATGTATGGCAAAAAATATCATATATTTCAAGCAACAGAGCCCTATTCTTCATAGTAAAATAAATAAGACAAAAAATTTCAAGTCAAAGCCATATTGAAATTTTTATGTTTGATTAATTCTGAGGACTTTACCTTCTGATATCTTTCCTGAAGGATTAAGAGGTGACTTGAAAACAAATATGATCTGAAAGAAAATGCAAAGGATGAGTTCCTTAGTAATTGGCCTTAGACATAGTTAATCTGTGAGACACTTTTATGCAAACAGCCCATGTTTGTTCAAATTTTGATTTTAGACATCTGAGCCAGGTTGTTCAAAGCTGGGTTAAGATAACCCAGGGTTACTGTGAACTCTGATTTCAGATCTAAAAGCTTCTAAAGTCAAATTCAGTCAAATTGGTTTTGTATAGAATATAATTATTGGATGATACAGAAAATTATCCCCAAAAGGCTTTTGAACAGAGGAATAAAAAAAATTGGTTAGAATTTAACCTTGGGTTGGTGCTAACTGGGTCCTGGGTTATGGTAAGGCTCATATATAAGGCCAATTGCAATAACAGAGACAGCAACATAACAGTGATACCTAGAATGGGTAGTGGCAGAAAACCATACCTTGTCCTGTTTGACCGCATGCGATACCACCTCTCTTGATCCTGTTTCCAGTCCCTTATACCCAAATGGTTCAAATCCCATTTTGTTACAATAATATGAGGCAGCCTGTTGATACAAGGAAGTAATTGTTTCCTACCTTAACTTACATTTAAAGAATTTTACAATAAACTTAAAGATCACAAGAAATAGTTTGATGATCAGGAGATTTAGATGTGGTGTGATCACTTTGGTAAGGGTTATAAGACAGCTGGTAGCAGCAGTGACAAATTTTTCCTCAACCAGAGTGAAATTCAGCTCAAGAGTCAAGCAAGTGGAGAGTTTTTTGTCCTCCAAATTGTTTGTTCTATAATTACATTAAAGCTACAACCCTCATTTGCTTCTGCTCTAGCACAATGATTTTTAACATGAATTATTTGTACCCTCTTATCACTAGGAAAACAGAATATGATAATCTTAGTGACACTATGCTGAACTCGTGAACACACCATGTAGAATATCATTTTTTTTAAAAATTGGTCAAGTCCAAGGTTGCCAGATAAACTTGATATTTAATTCCTACCCACTAAAAAATAAGTTCTCAAGAGAGAATCATCAGTATTCCAAATTCTGAGTATTGGGCTATTACACAGTACCCATCTGGTACAAAATTAGCCATCATTCCCACAAAAGTCCTCCCCAATTGATCTGTTGTTTTTAATAAGACGCTCTCCTCATACCCCTAAGGCTATGTTAAATTGCTACAAGATTTACATAATGAATCCTCACATTACTACTTCTTAAGCTTCCCAGATATAGAAAAATTTACTTAAACTATTGATCACATATCTACCACAGAATTAGTCTGCACATAAAGAAAGTGAAATTTTGTGAAGATTCATTCCAACCTCAGCCAGTTCCAGTGTTAGAATTAAAGTTGACATTTGTTATTTTCTCAGTCAGAGAGAGAACATTTGATCAAAATAAAACTCTCCCACTGCTCACAACAACTCTAGGATAATTTTTATGATAAACCATGGAGTATAAAATAAATAACCATCCAAAAACTAAATTAATATTAGTGTAATGTATACTTACTTACTGAATGAGTTGGAGGGCTGGATAGAAAAAATATTTTGCAGATAAAAATGTACAGACCGAGCCACCTTGAATCAAATGTTTTCCTTCCTGATTCGACCTACGGTAACTCAATTTTCGACCATTTCCTCAAATGACTGTTGCTCTTTGCTTTTCTTCTTGGATTCTGCATCTCAACGGCAGTATGCAAGGCCGTGGAGCCTTGTTCAAGACCTTTTTGCTCTATTTTACAGTCCTTATGCAAATATCTATGCAATTTATTTTAATTTTTTTTGCAGTAAAAATATTTACACGGCCCTTCGCGGCATATGATAATGATATCATTTTTTACTAACCTGCTTGGCATTTCCGACCCAAAATGTGATGTGATCGAAGGCAACAAAAGAACCAACTTCTGGCTGAAAACAGAGAGTTACACAAATTAACACGGAGAGAGATCTCCCATTTGTATCATAAAGATAAAAACTGGCAAGGTAAGTCTAATATAAGTCTTCTATGGAACGTTTAGAAAGATCAAGGTCAGTAGTGCAACACTCGATGACAATTGACAAAGGGGGTAAGTTTCAAAAGAAACTATGGTGCTGTGCCGGTGGGAGAGTATAGCAGGTAATTTAGTGTTACCAACTAAGTTGAAAGCTCTGACGAAGGGCTAACGCTCGAAATGTCAGCTTTTTTATCCTTTACGGTGGCTAATTTACGTTTTCAACTTAGTTGTTAACACTGAATTACTCGATGACAATGATGTCTATATATTTATGACTGCTTCGAACTTACCTTCTCTCCTTTGTCAGTATAAGTAGTCTGTGAACAAAAAAAAAGGAGGGTTAACATTTTTCACTAAAAAAACGACCAGATCGTGAAATACAAATCATCCTATACCATTTTAGTGTTTGTTTCCTACGTCCTCAGCGCAGTGCACGTTGCAATCCGATTAAAATAGAACCCAGTCTTTCTCTCTCAAACTCCAAATATAGGCATAAAATGGTCAGGCCCCTGACCCGCCTACTTTGTCAGCATCACAGGTAGAGAAAGAAATGAAAAAAAAAAAAAAAAAAAAAAAAAAAAAAAGAGAAAAAAGATCAATTTGAGTTCGGGCGGCCTATCAAACTATCATTAAGACCAAGTTCAATTGAAAAAATGGTCTGAACAGGTCTTTTTTTTGGCTCCTATCACTTGATGGATTGATAGAGGGTCTCAATGGGGTGATGGCTTTTACGGCTATCGGTTAAAATTTTGGCCAATTTCCGGCTAACGGTTAACACCTTTCCATTGTTTCCACCAGAGATATTTTTTACGGTTAACTTTTTTTACGACTAACGGTTCAAATTTGTCAATTTTTTACGTCTAACGGCTAAATATTTTGGCCGTTTACGGCTAACGGTTAACCCCATTGGGACCCTCTTGATACACCCATTTGTTTTAAAACAATTCTATAAGTTTCCCCTTCCCTTTTGATGAAACGATACAGACTCTTTCCACCTATGCAATGCGCTGCTATAAAAAAAATCCATAATGTGATTGTAATTGAAAAAGCCAGTCAGAAAAGTCATGCTCTCTGTCCTGAAGTTGCAAGATTTCGCTTTTAAACGGCTTAGACCCGTTGTAACTTTCCAATAGTATCGAACCAGTTAAAATGTAAATTGAAAAATTTAGGACATAATGCATAAGTATATTAGGTTCAAAATCAAATGATTTCTATTTGGGGTCTAAAATCGGTAGCGTGTTCGGAGCGAGAGCGAACGGGCAAAACTACGGTCTTTCAGGCTCACACTCTGTGGGGACTAGCAAAGGAGCCCACGAACGACATTAGGGAAGGCTCAATTGTCAGGGAAACGGCTGGTTTAGCTGACTCTCGCCTGTGATCACTTATCCGCTTTTTCACTTATCCGTTCACTCGGTTTTAATGATCGAGGCCTGGGACGGGCTTGTTGGAGCGAAGATTGGGATCTAATCTCCTGGAGTATCATTTCGGAAGTAAAAATCTTGAGTAAGCCGTAATGGAGGTGGAGATACCAATTGAAACAGAACCATTACTGGGGCAGGAGATCATTTCTTCCAGTTTGAAAACTGAGGAAATGCCTAGTTCCCTTCAATTGGCGGTAGATATTTACGATAAATCAGTGCAAAACACTGCTTTGGATGTACACGGAGACTCAATTGACGGACGATCGAGGGGTCGGTGTTGCAGGATCTTTACAAAATTCAAGTTTGCTCTCTTTGATTCCCACTGGCCCTTGTCTTGTTTCTTGGCGGTTGCTTTCCTTGGTGTTTGGTTACCTAAGAAGAACAGATCTCTTTGGTCGCTTACTTTTATACCGATCTTTCATATGCTCTTCGGCTTGGGGGCACATCTGTATTTCATTGTGTTGACAAATGACCAAACGACTTGGAAAGTTCACATTGGGTCGAAAATGCTACTCACATCTCTATGGATAAGCGGTTTTTCATCGTACATCCTGGCTTTGTATTTCTTCAGGTATCAGTCACAGGAATGGATGCGAGATCTGAACAAAATTCAACATCGAGCCGTCAACGTGGGTCTGTTTACTGGTTTGCTGCTTGTGTCATGGGTCCTGTTCTTCGACGCCCATTTTCAAGTTATTTTTGACTTAGACAACATTAAAAAAGCCCTCACCGAGAATTGTCCAAGTACAAAAGTTTGCAAAGGTATTTGGTATCCCCTTGTTACTTCTATATACTGGGGAATGTATTCGTCGATCGCTGTTTGCTGCGTGTTTTTCTCCCTGTGCCTCTCGATGACGAACGATCTCGCAAAAGGATACCTTCGCTTAGCTAAATGCACTGGGGATGTTCGGAATGCTGTAATAATGCACAAGCAAGTGCGTGATGAAACTGAAAAACGGATAAACAGCATGCGTGTCTGGTTTTTAATTCACACTCTCTTTTACCTGGTGGTGTTTTTAGCCAGTATTTTCGACTGGTGGGAAGCGGCAAGAGACTCGTTAAACTCTGTGGTCCAGTACATGGCTCAAATCTCTGGCACGCTAGTCGTGGTGTACAAATTTTTCTTCCCTTTCTTGTCGGCGAGTTACGTCACTTGGCACGAGTCCACACTCGTGCAAGACTTGAACGACAAGACAGATTATCTTCCTGGAGAAACCTTCCACTCGAGGCAAGATTTAGAAGTGTTCCTTGCGCAGAGCAGGAGACGTGGTTATGGATTTCGCCTGTTTAAGATACAAATTACCATAACAATTGCAATATTTTCTTTGCTCGGATCTGGTTTTGGATTGTTACACACCTTTCTTTTTTTAGAGTAAAATTTTTTTCGACGCTTTTTAGTCGTGGATACACGAAGCGTAGAATCGACTACTGTTAGGGTTTAAGAATTTGCAAATTTATCACTCAATCAGATGTAAACAAATCGATATGTCAACGGCAGACCAATTGATATCGATTTTCCGAAATAATACTGCAACGCATCTATCGACTTTCCGAAGTAAATGCCGCGACGTTGAAATAAAATTCGACTTTTCATAGAGAGAGTTTCGATTACTACTCGTCGCAGTCAGCACATGTGTAAGCGAGTCAAATCTGTTTGAAAGACTTTTAAAAGGTGTGACTATGAGTGTAGACGCTGAATGCGAAGAGTCTTTGACTCCTCGAGACGTTTGCTCGTCGATCCCCCAAGCTCACAGGGGGTTTATAAATAGTGATCCTTAGCTCAAACTTGTGAGGGAACCTATAGAATCTATGAGCGCTCATATCAACATACGTATGAATTAAACGTAAGGTTAAACAAAGCTCTAAGAAACATCAGTTGCACAACTGATCAGTCCGTAATATCCAACCAAAACACTCCTGTGGCTAAGCAGAACGAACCGCAGCAAGGAGACTTATCTGATGATAACAGCAATCATACTAGAAAATTACAGGAAGGACGAAGTAGGTCAAAGTCCAGTCGTATTAGCATAGGCGTCCGCCGTGATCGAGAACCATCGAGATTACCGTGGAAGAAAATTCTGAACTTATTTAACAAGGCTAAAGCAATAGAGAGGTATGTAAAGTTTCATATTGTGCATGGTGAATCACATTCGTCAGCGTTGAAAACGATTTTATCGTTTGATTACCGTAATTATCTTAAAACCAGACTGTGAAGAGGTAAACCTGTTGGAATCTGTGATTGTTTCGATTATACTCAATAAATACTCGTTGTCGCATTCATTTACTTTATTCTCTTACTTTCCATTTAAAGGAAAAGGTCAACTGAAAATAGATCACCAAACGCTAACTGATTTGATGTACTTAGAAACTTAACAGGATATTGAAAAGCCAAACAGTATAAAATGAATTTACGCACCGACATTAGCGGCACTAGTTCCCAGGAGAATATCTAACCACGTGCGTTCACTAACTCAATTAATCATTAACATTACAATTTCCTCAAATGTGATTGGTGCATCACCTGCTTTATATCTCACTAGTCACTCTGTATAGTTCTAATCGGAAAGTGTAATCGGATAGTTGAAGCAGCCAATCATACTCAGTCTACTCAGCTATATCCACCAATCACAGAATTTATCACAATAACCATAGCAACAAGCACTTACCCTGAAAAAAAAAAAAACTGGGAAATTTCCAAATGTTTTGCTTTAGACGTTGTCTCTACTGAAGATGTTTGTCCTAAATGTTTTTTTTCCTGAAATTGTAATGGTTATGATTGATTGGTGACAGGACTTTGTGTCGCCCAATTCTGTCTGTAATCTTACTCGTGATTGACAGATCGGACTCCCGCTTCGCGGTCGTCCGATTTTGTTAATCACTTGTATGATTACAGACCGAATTGGATTCCACTCGGTCCTATTATCATTATTAATCGTTTACTAATCAAGTTTCTTATAGTGTAATATGATAGATTATGACGTCACGGTAACAGAATCACTCGTGCAAAAGGTTCAAGGTTATATTTTGCTATTGATTATGTTTATATTTTCAAAAAAAGGACTGCAAAGTATAAAAAGACATGAAGTATTCAGTAGTTTTATCATGAATTTGTACATTTTATTTGATGCCATTCAATAAAGTGTAAGAAACGAAATCGCAAGTATTTTGTTTCAAGGGCAAAGTTACTTCAGGTGATATCGAGTCAAACATGGGACCTGTTACTCAGGGAAATAATGCAAGCAATCTTAATGAATTGTTACAATCTCGATCAACTCAACATGGCTTGTAAATATTAGATGTTAGTGGTGCAGGTGATTGCTTCTTTTGAGTTGTGTCCCATAAGTTGTATGGTGAACCTGGCTATCACATGAATGTTCGTAGCACTGGTGTTCAATTTATGAGTAACAATCCAGAAAGATTCATCGAAAGTAGTACGGACCATTTATGGTCAAGGTATTTAGCTTACATGGGCTGATCCACTTGTTATACATGCAGTTGTAGATGCATTAAACTTGACAATCCACGTTATAGAATTTAAGCCATATTAGATATTGGACACTATGTTTCAACTGTTCTTTCCAATGAAGCGCCAAAATACCTTGTTAATATAAGTGAATTGTTTCAAAATGAGTATACAGAAGTTCAGGAAAATTGGCTCGATAATCCCGATACTAGAGCCAATGATGCTTTTACAAATCGAAGTAATAAATGAAAAGAATTCCTCAGTAATTTACACGCAAGCACTGATAATGCTGAAATACATTCAACTGATTCTGTACCTGAAATTACTAAATAGTGGCACTGACAGGGTCAGTTAAGAAATTCTGATTTTTCTGAAGCCACTCAAAGACATTTTAATTACACCAAACAATTAGTTACTGACTTTAATGACAATGGTAAAGATGGATCGTGTGAAGTTGAGAAGAGGACTTCAGGTGTCGCAGTGAATCTTCCTTTTTGACAAAGAACTCCTCGAAGCCATTTCAAAAACTGCTGATCGATGTGCAAACGGCGACACGCTGCGTCGTGACCCAGTTTCAGTTTCCTCATTGGTTAATAAAAATGACACAAACAAACCTTGCCACCAACAGCCAGTCTCTTACTCCTCCCCACTCCCCTCCCCAAGATCTCCTATGAAATATACCGGTAGGGGTGGACAACAGCGCAAAAAATGAACAAAAAAAGTTATGAGTTATTGTTAAAGGAGGCAACCTAAATTTACAGCCGACCAGCCAGTCGTTCATTTGAAATTTTGTCGGGATTCAATTGCTATCCAAAGGAAACTTATTTGAGAAGAACGAGGAGAATGGAGCGTGTAACTTACTCACAACACGCAGCACATTCATACAAATTTTACGTAAAAAATCTGCTATAGTATAAGCTTTTGTGGCAAAAAGTGAAGTTTAAGGAATGGTGCAGGTCAAACGATAGCCAAAATGTGAATTCTGACTATTCACCCAACATCACCCCTGCAGTTCAAAGTAATTCCAAGTAGTTTCAACTATATCCAAGAGTTACCCATTGGCTGCCCATGTTTACACATGTAAAAGTGTGTGGTTTTGTAAAGAGGAATTTAATTATCCTCAAAACACATTCAAACGTGATGTAACCACGACTTATTCTCAGTTTCCTTTGATTTTTAAAGCGGTGAGATAGATGACAAATCTATCTTTTTCCTTTGAGTTAAAGTTGTAGCTTAGGCATTTTTGATTTGATATGATTTCGTTTTCATAACGGCACGCTTAAAATAATGAATAAAAAAAAGACACTAAGACTGAGCATTTTGCAAAATTCATCGATCACATTGCGTGAAACATGTCAGTGAACCTGGAAGAAAGAAAAGTCCCTGTCCCTTATATATGTCTAATAAAATCTTTTCACGCAACGCACTCACTCTCTAACTGGAATACATGGCGTTGTGTGACGGGGCCAAACAACGGCTGCGAAGGAGACTACAATGAGCGTGGCACCAATGTATTTTATTTTTGCTCAGAAGTATTTACTCAATAGAGACGATAGATCACAAAATACCTGTGTGAATTTAGATAGAGCAAGTTTTTTTCTTTCTGTTAAAGTGAAGTAATGCGATATTTTCGTTCTTTTGAAAGTTGTAAAATATTAGGAACACAGAGTGTCCCATCTCGACCTACCAAGCTGAAAAAAATAACTTTTGCATGCTACGCATGCCTATGTTTTATCTTATTAGAGTTCTCTCATTATAATTTTATGACATGAATTAAGTGAACGTCTCAATTACTGCTGCTTTATCGCATCTTGACTAATCAAAAGTAATTATGAGTGTTTGATGATTCAATGTCAATAAATAAAAAAATTACCATCTGAGGTTTGCATTTGCTCGGCGTGGATGGGCTTCCGGCCGAGAGAAACGGTAGGCCTGAGGACGAGAACGACTGCGAAAGTGCCACATAGAGGCAGAGGATCAAATTCTATTGGCTGTTTGATATGAGTGACCTGTGACGTATGTTCCACAAAAAACCAAACAGTCTGGTAGAGATTTCTCGCTTTAGGCAAGGCACCTATGTCTAAAGGTCGTGGTAAGTACTGCCTGTTTCAAACAAACGAAATAGTTCAATTTTTTTGTGTAATATAAAGAGGAATAACACTTCGATCATGTTTGTTTGATTCAGTGACCTGGCGGAAGACGGTTGATATATCTCGCTACGATAAAAAGTGAAAAGTACAGTCGATAGAGGAAGACATAACCAAAAACCACAAGGTCGGTATAAAAGTTTTAAATACTATTGAGAACTTTAAGTACTGCTCTCGTTGATTAAAATTGCGCGGGTAAAGTTGATTTGTTTAGAGTCACCCTCTAACGAATCCGACCTCTTCAAGGTCATGAAAAGGGAAAGGTTTTAGAGAAACTGCGCATGTCAGAGGAGGATGTGAAAAGAAAATTTGGTTTTATCAACCGGGTTGATGATGTGAATTGGCCACCGTTGAGTTTTTCTAAAGTTGACGTTTCGTACGTTAGCCCTTCGTCAATTCGAAGTGAGGTGGGTGAAATAGAAGATATCCCTGATGATACAGCTTATATAGTGGCCTCACGTCACACACTGGCTTTCCGAATCCGACCTCCTCGAGGTCGTGAAGAGGGAATGATTTTAAAGAAACTGTGCGTGTCAATGAAGGACGTGACAAGAAAGTTTGGTTTTATCAACTGAGTTGATAATTTGAATTGGCCACCGTAGAGTTTTTCTAAAGCTGACGTTTCGTACGTTAGCCCTTGTACAATTCGAAGTGAGGTGGGCGAAGTAAATGATATTCCTAATGATGTAGCTCATTTAGTGACCTCACGTCACTCGCTGACTTTCCTAAATGACAGTTTAGTGAGTGAAACTTCTGATCAAGGGCTAATGCGCGAAACGTCAGTGTTAGGCTCTACCGTAGCCAATTTACATCATAAACTCTTCAAAGTCAACAGCCAAACATTGTGCTGTAGAGCCATCATTGCGTAGAATTTTTGTGTGAAAAATGGAAATCGAATATAGATAAAGAATTAATAAAATTCATTAAAACTTTTTCTATCTCTGGAAGGAAGATACGGAGAGCTATCCAGCGGTTTACCTCGAATGATAAAGTGGTCCAATTCACATACGTATACATCCATGCATACATCTACACACATACACACCCGTACAAACGCGCATACAAATAAATGTATTTGATTCATGTGTCATTCAGTCTCTATTTTGAATTGTGAACAGAATTCTATTCTATTTCATCGTGTTAATATCGTATTGTTGTCTGTTGTAAGTGGTTCATTGTAGGTAATGTATTGTTTCTAGAATAAATTACGTATCGGCAAATTTTATTAAAAAACGTTAAATGCATTTTGTTTTCGTACGTCAAACAATTATAACTCATGATGGATTTGAACCCGTAAAAATGAAACATCTTTTTTTTTTCAACAGGGAACGTCAGACTTAGTTGTTCATCCCTTTGGAAAGGTTAGATTTTCATCACAAGATCGATCACAGTACAACTGAAGCCTCTTCCTTTAGAGGGTGAGCTGTCTGTGCGTGATAACCGACTCTTCATGAATTGATGAAGAGCTAATCAGCAATTTACTACGAAGTAAATCGATTTCGATTTCGTAAGTCCCACTTTTATAACTAATGACAGATTTGAGCATATAAAAATGAAACATTTTATTCCTGTTTAATAGGGTACGCCAGGCTTCAGTGTCCATCGCTTTGAGCAGTTAGATCAGTTATCGTCACAAGATCGATCTACGTACAATATTGAAGCTTCTTTCTTTAAACGGTAAGCTATCTGTGCGTGACAATCGACTCCTTGTCTTAGTGAATTTTTCATTTTCTAATGGGTGTGATTTGTATGATCGAGGATAAAAATACCAAAAATATAATAAATAAGAAATAAGGATAAAGTTGATTGGTATTTTGCGGAAAAAATGACCAAATTACCACATACCTAGTTAAGTGTTACCCTTGAAGGCGCTAATCCAGAGGAGACGGAAATATGGTAACAAGCAGGTGACATCAGAGGGATGATCTAGCTTGATCTAACGAAAAAAAATGATTAACAATAGATATTTGATTTGAGGAAGGGAGAGAGAGGGGTGCCTGAACCTGAAGTTTATTTACAAGGAGGGATCTGTGTAGAAGAATTCTCCTGAAAACTCAGACCGATCATATTCGCTGCTTTTACGTTTTCATTTCCCCTTTTCTTCGGCCGAAAAACTCGCAATTTTAGAGCACTTACACCGAGCGATCATTCGAATAATGATGATAATTTTACACGGCTGAGGATATCTTTGTATTCGAAAAATTAAGCAAACAAGTGCAGATTTCGTGAAAATTTCACTTTCCGAGGTTTCATTTCGAGAGAGATGGGTTCAATGAAAGAAACTTTCGTGTAAAAAATTGGGGCCTGAAATGGAGCCCTGTGAATCTTTACCCGAAATGTTGGCGAGAAAATCACCAGCGGAGAACGCACTGACTTGGAAATAACACTTCGGAAGCTTGTCAATTTTTTTGCGTTCTGCAATACATGAAACTTATAGTTATAAGCATTTAGTGGG